GACTATCCCACTCTACTCGTCTTGGTTTCACACAAATCCTGATTCTAGGAGACTTTAATCTCCCTGTAGCTCTTATAGGGTTGCTGTCGGTCCCAAGACCGGGTAAAGAAGGAGGGTTGGGCATGGGGTTAGCGTCCCCATCCCGTAGAAAACTAACTCGCTAAAAAAACGCTTACCAGAAAAAATAATCCAAACCATTTTAACTCTGCCCTGGGAGTTAGAAGGTCTTCATTTAGAAGAATTATGACGCTTCATGGTGAAAGCCGAGTTCCTTCGGAAGCCACGAGGCCGATGCCCCTTCTAACAACCAGAGCAAAAATTTTTATAGGTACATGGAACGTTCGAACAATGTGGGAAACCGGGAAGACCAGTCAAATATCAATGGAAATGAGGAGATACAACTTAGCAGTACTGGGAGTCACCGAAACCCACTGGACCCAAGCTGGACAGAAAAGGCTAGCTACGGGAGAGATGCTGCTATACTCCGGTCACGAAGAGGACAATGTTCCACACACTCAGAGAGTTGCTCTTATGCTGTCCAAAGTAATACGAAATGCACTTGTAGGATGGGAATCTCACGGATCCAGAATCATCAAGGCATCATTCAAAACAAAGAAGGAGGGGATCTTAATGAATATTATCCAATGTTATGCACCCACCAATGATAGCAACGACGAAATTAAAGATCAGTTATACGAGCGGCTGCAGTCAATCATTGAGAAATGCCCAAGAAAGGAACTAACTATTCTGATGGGAGATCTTAATGCCAAAGTCGGAATAGACAACACTGGATATGAAGATATTATGGGACGACATGGACTGGGAGAAAGAAACGAAAATGGAGAAAGATTTGCAAATCTGTGTGCATTCAACAAATTGGTCATAGGCGGCACAATATTTCCACACAAGTGTATACACAAGGCTACATGGATGTCACCGGACCACACTACAGAGAACCAAATAGATCATGTTTGCATCAACAAAAAATTCCGAAGGACAATGGAAGATGTGAGAACCAGGAGAGGTGCTGACGTAGCTTCAGATCACCACCTAGTTTTAGCCAATTTGAAACTGAAGCTAAAAAAGAACTGGACAACTGGACAAACAGCAATACAAAGGTTCAATACAGCCTTCCTTCGAGATACTGACAAACTCAATGAATTCAAGATAGCTCTCAACAACAGGTTCCAAGCCTTACAGGATCTACTGAAAGAAGAAGAAACTACTATGGAGGACAACTGGAAAGGCATCAAGGAAGCATTAACTTCAACGTGTCAAGAGGTTCTGGGTCTAAAGAAATACTATCATAAGGAATGGATCTCTACAGAAACACTGGACAAGATCAAAGAAAGGAAGAACAAGAAGGCAGCAATTAACAACAGCCGAACACGAGCAGAGAAAGTTCAAGCACAAGCTGAATACATAGAAGCAAACAAACAAGTGAAGAGGAGCATTAGAGCCGACAAGAAGAAATGCGTGGGAGAACTAGCAATGACGGCGGGAAAAGCTGCAAGAGAAGGAAATATAAAACAGCTTTACGATACAACGAAGAAACTAGCAGGGAAATACAGTAAACCAGAGACCGGTCAAGGACAAGAACGGGAAAGCAGCGGGACCCGACAACATACCAGCTGAAGCACTGAAATCAGACATCGAAGCAACCACAAGCATGCTTTACCTTCTATTCAAAAAGATTTGGGAGGAGGAACAAGTGCCGATGGACTGGAAAGAAGGACACCTCATCAAGATTCCAAAGAAAGGAGACCTGAGCAAATGTGAAAACCACAGAGGCATCACACTACTGTCAATACCAGGGGAAGTCTTCAACAGATTGTTGCTGAACCGGATGAAGGATGCAGTAGACGCCCAACTTCAAGATCATCAGGCTGGATTCCGTAAGGATCGGTCGTGCACGAACCAAACTGCGATACTACGGATCATCGTCGAACAATCACTGTACATCAACTTCATTGATTATGAAAAGGCATTTGACAGTGTGGATAGGAGAACGTTATGGAAACTTCTTCGACACTACGGAGTTCCTGAGAAGATTGTCAATATTATCCGGAACTCATACGACAGACTACAGTTCAAGGTCGTGCATGGAGGACAGCTGACAGACGCATTCGAAGTAAGGACCGGAGTCAGACAAGGCTGTTTACTCTCTCCCTTCTTCTTTCTTCTGGTGGTCGACTAGATTATGAAGACCTCGACATCTGAAGGAAAACACGGAATACAATGGACAGCTCAGAATCAATTAGTCGATTCAGACTTCGCAGATGACCTATCCCTCCTATCGCATACACACGAACAGATGCAGAAAAAGACAGCCAGTATAGCAGCAGTCTCTGCATCAGTAGGCCTCAGCATACACAAAGGGAAAACCAAGGTCCTCAAATTCAAAGCGGAGAATAGCAATCCAATCACTCTTGATGGCGAAACTCTGGAAGATGTAGAATTCTTCACATACCTGGGAAGCATCATCGATGAACAAGGAGGCTCAGATGCAGACGTAAAGGTGAGGATTGGCAAAGCAAGGACAGCATTCCTACAGTTGAAGAACATATGGAACTCAAAACAACTTTCAACCAATATCAAAGTGAGAATCTTCAATACGAATGTCAAGGCAGTTCTACTGTACGGAGCTGAAACTTGGAGAACTACAACAACCACAATCAAGAAAGTACAAGTATTTATAAATAACTGTCTATGCAAGATACTCAACATCTATTGGCCGGATATCATCAGCAATAGCCTTCTGTGGGAGAGAACAAACCAACTTCCAGCTGAAGAAGAAATTAGGAAAAGACGATGGAAATGGATAGGACATACATTACGCAAATCGTCAAACTGCATCACGAGACAAGCCCTAACTTGGAATCCTGAAGGAAGGAGGAAAAGAGGAAGGCCAAAGAACACATTGCGTCGGATAATAGAAGCAGATATGAAAACGATGAATTACAACTGGACGGAGCTAGAAAGGATTGCCCAGGACAGGGTTGGATGGGGAATGCTGGTGAGCGGCCTATGCTCCTTAACGAGGAGTAACAGGCGTAAGTAAGTAAGTAAGTAAGAGTCAACTTCGCGGAACACACGTATACCGGAGGCGACAACTCAGTTGAAGCTCGGTTCTTCAACCTCATCAATGACTTGGGATTGTTCGAAAATGTGAGCTCGGAAACTCGTTGGAGAAACAGTCGGACACCATTGACATTTTAAGGTCAGGGTTAATTTCACTATATCTCAGGCTATGGAATGTCCTAGTGGGGTTCCCCAGGGCTCAGTACTAGGACCTCTTCTCTTCCTGATCTACATAAATGGTCTTCCTCGACAGGAAACGTCAGACTTATTACTTTTCGCTGATGACGTGAAACTTTGGAGAGAGATATGCAACCAAGACGATATACGGGCACTTCAGGAGGATCTGACTCGACTTCAAAGTTGGGCAGACGATAGTGGACTTGTAGTGGCATTGGACAATAGCCACACAATCCACAAAGCTGTGAACACGAGACTACTCAGAAAATAGATATTCAATATTTAACGCGGAGAAATACCTAACAATGGAGAAGGTAACCTAACCTTGTTCTTCATCATGTATTGGTAATTGATACGATACAGTGAGTTGGTGTAGTCGATGGTGTGACTTCCACGTAAGATCTTATAGATTAGGCAGTTATATCATGACGAATCAATTGGTTAATGTTATAGTAGACCATAATTCTACAGACTTACGTTTAACACTTCAAAGTGTAAAGTAGTCCATCTGCGACATGTCGCAGACTATAGTTATAACTTAGGTACCTCCTCTATAGTAGTATCCCAAGTCGAAAAAGATTTAGGAGTCCTTGTGCCCTACGATTTAAAGTCTTACACTAACTGTGACAAAAATGCCTTCCGAGCAAACTTTGCACTGATAACATTGAAGCGCATTTTTGGCCAGTTTGACGGAAGCATTTTCCATATAATCTTCAATAGTTTTATCCGTCCCCATTTAGAGTACGGAAACATAGTATTCCCCCCTTCATTCCAAAAGGATAAGGACACTCTGGAGCGTATCCAACGGCGAGCCACGAAATCAGTTCGAGGACTCAAATTTAAACCTTACGAAGAGCGCCTCCATTCACTTAACCTTTACCCATTAGAGTATAGACGTCTTGGAGGTGACCTTCTGATGGCTTATAGTATCCTTAACACTTCTGAACATCCTCTCAAACACCTGCTTAAGCTTAGTTCCGACACTAACCTGAGAGGTAACACCCAGAAACTGGAGACACAACATAGCAGAACGGACTGTAGACACAACTCTTACTCCTTAAGAGTTGTCAAATGCTGGAACTCGCTGACGAGCGAGCTTGTCAAAGCAACTTTCCAGGAGTCCTTCAAGAGGCAACTTGATCTATTCTTAAGGATTAAGGATAGTATCACACTATGATTTACTAATTTCTTTTCCTCTTTTATTGTTAACATACCTAGGTTCCTGCCTGGAGGATTTAGTGATCCCCTGCTACTAGACACGGAAGCCTGTTAAGCGAAAGCTTCTTCTATTCCGTCCACAACCATTCGAACCATTTGATCCCTGGAATAGCAAAGTTCCCGTATGATGATCAACTGACTAAACTAAATCTATTTTTAACGTCATATGGAAGAACCTGATGTTATTTGATCATAGATTTTAAATTACTTAATGGCCACTTTTCATCTGGTATGCCTCCATTTTCGCTGCCTCCCGAAACAGAGAATTTGCGAGGTTACTCTAGAAATTCACGAACCCAAAACAAATTACTTGTTAACTAACTATCGAACCCATCGACGAATGTAATTCAATACCTCAACAAATGATTAAAGCTCCATCTGTTGAAGCTTTCAAAAGAAATTTGGATCTTCTAAAAGACCACCATTTACAGGAATAACACAAGCCACCCAGTCTCATATCCTTTCCAAACTGAAACTGGGGCTTAGAGACCGCGCCTATCTCAACACAGTACGTTACTTTGTGGTGCTTTTCATTTTGCTTTGTTAGGACACGATGCTTGAATAATTTACCTGTGTTTAGATGCAGTATTATTCAGAATCATGCTTTAGACTCTGTATTTGCCCAAACGATCCTTATGTGATTATCACGAATACATGTTCTTGTTCTCCGAAATTTCGGGGAACATTTCATCAGTTTGGGGGAAATGCGACAAAAACCTCAAAATCTCCTCTGGTATGAAGTTTACCCAAAAATTCATGTTATTTTGGTAAATCTCAATTCTTATCTCGACTCTGTGCGAAAGTACAAATTTCCACATAACTTGAAGAAAAACCTCAAGATTCCCCAGAATTTCCAAGAAAAATGCTGAGATTAGGCACTTTTGTTCTTCCTTATAGACTAGGGTGATTGGTGATCGAGACCAATCAGAATTTATTGCGTCCAGTTGTCTGATTCTAGACAAGATCTCAGTTAGTTTTACTGGCGAAACTAGGTCATCATCCTTAAAAGTTTCAGGATTTAAGCTTTTCCCTCAGTGCTCTGTTCATTGGCTCAATCTCCTGAACTAAGAGTGAATAACGGACCTGCCTTCTCCGATATAGTCTTACAATCGCATTTTTAATATCTACTTCCTTGAAAAGCCTTGATAGTTGCCTACTCTTATCTATCTTCGCTGTCTTTTTCATATTTTCTGCTTTCGCTTCCAATCACTGTTCGCTATAATTGCTCAGGCCTTTTATCAGCCTACGTTTAAACTGCCTCCTCTCATAGTATTCGGAACCATAGGGAATGAGTTTTCAAGCATCTGTTACTTAAGCAAAAGCTGCTGAAGTCCACTGATTTTTCAACCTTTTAGTTCCGGTTACTGGTGGGTGTCATTGCCGTTTGAATGTCATCCCCAAGTTGCCTTGGGGTGGGTATCGATTTCATTGTTGATTAACTCCTTTCTCAGTTCCTAAGATTTATTCGTGACTTATCATTAACTTTAACTCCGGGAGGTTTTCTTTTGGTAACTTTTATATATCCAGTGAGACTTTGACAAATGCTTACTCGTACTGGAGCATGACCTGAGTTCAAATATACACTCCAAAATGAGCGACAGTCCTTTTTCAGGCCTTTCCCACAATGGTTGATGGCCATGTGGTCTATTTGAATACATTGTTGGGTCGATTGTGGGGGTTTTCGCGCCGGACAATGTTTACCCTGTACTTGGAATTGGTGCTCGTTAGAAGTAGACGGTTGTCTGAGCATAGTTGCAGCAGACGGTCACTATTATCTGTTTACTGGGGGCGTGACACCGTATGATCCATTTAAGTTCCTTTCAGTTTAACTTAACCTACCACGTTGTGCATTATTTGCCGACGCTGGGACTGGTTGGAAAAAGCGGAGAGGTGGTCAGTGCATGACATGGTGTTGTGGTATGAAAGAAAGCTGCAAAGGGCTGGCTTCTGTTGGTCCTTCATGGCTCCCTGGCTGGGGTCCTAGGGATGGTGCGACACAGTGGCTAGAGACGTCATCAGATATGGCTCAGGATAGAAGCCAGTGGCGATCCTGCTGTAACCTTCTTTTACTTTCTTCATAAAAAAATGGTTGTATCTTCTTTAACTGAAAGAGTTCTTCTGGTTGTACATTTTCGTCTCCCCTATTATTATTATTATTATTATTATTATTATTGCACTACCTTACACTAGTCTGGTCGTTATTGTTCTTTTTTTCCTTATGCTCTCCTTACCTTCTTTTTTCCCTCCTCCTTGTCATTGTTTTGTGTGGCGCATATATATTTGGTGCCCCCTTGTACCAATATTTATGTGTTCAAATAAATAAGTAAAATAATATGCCCAAAGGGAAGATAAAAAGTATATGCGTCCACCCATTGTCAATAGTTTTGCATATAACTAAAATGAGGGAAGTTTGAACCTTTTTGTTGTCACTTCTGATCCACTGTTTGTGTTTTGAACTAAAGTGATGAGTCCCTGACAAGCCTCAAATGGTACGGGATACATATAGTTTATTTTATCTCTAAACACAATACTCTTCAAGTGGAAACCGTCGAATTCTATTTATACATGTCTGGTATATGTTAAACTTGTTGTCAACGCTTCATTTCTTTTAATGTCTCAATTTATATCTTGTCTCTTGAATATATCTTAATAACACGTGGATGAATTAAGCAGCTTCCTTCCTAGTATTGTACATTAAATATTTACCTATTTAAAATGGAATAAAACTATCGAATAAATAATTTTAAAACTGTTTATATTTTCTAAAACTCATTTTAGATTGGGATTAGACCGTTTACGTTATTTTCTCAAAAGTATCATTTTCCTTGTATACGAACCCGATATTTATTCTCCAATATGGCTGTCAGTTATTTAAGGTAATGATTTTTGTTTCAAAAAAAAACGTCGTAATTTTATTTTTGACTTATCAAAATAAGAACCAGATATTTTCCTGCTTTATTTAAAATCATCTATTCGCTGAACTCTCTATGTAATGGATTTAATTCGAAAAAGTGCTGACAGAGCATATAACAGACAAGAAGTGAAACTAGAGTGGTGGCATTAATACGATAGTAGGACTTAAATACGATGGTATGAAATTATAGCAATGATAATTTCAAAGGAAATCGATATTGTTAACCATGTTAGGACATTGTTTGGATATAACTGCGTAAAAAGAAAATATTCAGTACATTAAAGCTGTGGTTATTTTGTTGCATTCTATCAACTTTAATTTCTAAAAAAAAATAGGAATGAGGAAATCTGGTATAACTTGTTTTACGTCCATTAGACAATTAAACCATGGTAGTTATACGTATACTTGATTTTATTCCAGCTAATTCAGTCATGAAACCTATGAATATTCCTCTTCTTAATTGACTGGAAAAATATACACTAACGCAAAAATGAATAACTGTAAATTCATAAACTGATCAACATAGGTCGTGAAGTTGATATCATTAATGCTGTATAAGTTATCAATTATGCTTTATTTAGTTCTCATTATTGTCTATGAGTTCATCTTCTCCATATTGTAAATAATGAATAAATTCAAATCTTTTATAAACTAAGTTGGGAACTGATAGGAATTTGTTCAATTTCTCTCACTAATCTCAGGTATCAAGTCAATCTAAAAATTTATCCTGGATTTTTCTCAGGATATTTTAACTATTAACATAGGGTAATCCTATCTGACAAATGGAATAATAATGTAGTTCATTTACCAAATAAAGGTTCATGTACTCAACTTTAAGGCGCATCGTTTTTGTAAAGGATAGCAATACTATCTAACTACTCAAACTGAAGTGAGTGAAGTTTGACCTTTTAACCGAGTGCTTTAACCATTGCTACTCATCATTCAGTGAAATCATAAATCTAATATTTATAGGATTTAACTTAATTTTCAGAGTAAATAAGTTGATGGAGTCACGTTCATACGCAATAACTATATTTGAATGAGTTTCAAAGCTGTTTAATTAGGATCTACCAAAATTGAATCCTAGGTTTGAAAAAAACTTAAATTAGAAATTCAATGAGAATCTATTTGTAATAACTAAATCTTATTATTAGTCAGGATTATCATGCTTGAATGACCCATATGGGTTAAACACGACATATCTACGTTTGAATGATTTCAGTCAGATTTGTAAACTACTGCACCCCGGTGCAGTGGTTTGGATGTTTAGCTTTCGCTCGCGAGACCGAAAGTCTCGGGTTTAGTTCCCGATCTGGGGATCAAAGACGCGCACTGGTGCGGAGGAGTCCAGTACTAGGACGAAACGGCTATCCAGTTTTCATTAGTTTTCTAACTTAGATCGGTTATGGTTCTCAGTATATTGCTATAATTTCCTTTGTTACAGAAATTCAAGTAACGATATTTTCAGAATGTAGATAAGACAGATTTTTAAGTCCAAGAAGTATGGTTACAAATATATTGTAGTGTAAATCTACACTATTCTACTAAAACGCAACTTATTATATGCTGGTTACAATAAGTCACAAACTAATGTAATTAAAATTGAGCTTCACAACATATTTTCTATTTGGTTTATTACTGGTTTTTGTACATTTCAATTGTAGTAATTTCTAAAAATTCAAACAAATAATCTGAATTCGTCTTTATTTGATTATCATTTCATAGTTAATATTGTGGGATTTCATTTACTGATCATCTTTAGACTTCCATGTATGATTAATCTTCATTTACAAATGTGGATATTGACTTTCAACATTACTTTGTACTTTTTATCCATCTAAATCGTTCGTTCTTTTCGAACTATATTGCCCAATGTTTAATCCTTCCTTACAAATATCGTTTCGACTATTTCGCTATTCCTCTTGTTAATTTTATCTCATCGTGTTGATATGATGTGACGTGGGCTAACGCAGATCTATATCAAGCTGTAAGTTGATTGTGTGTGAGTGACTGTAGATATTTACTGATTTCATATTTGTATTGTTTATCTAGTCAGGTAGAAGCTCAACAAGTAGATAATGAATTATTTACAGAATATGCTTTCTCTGTTGATCAGCTGATGGAATTAGCTGGTCTAAGCTGTGCTGTTGCTATCAATAAGGTGATTGCTTATGTTTTTATCTTATACTGTATTTATTATGGTTCACCTATTCTTTAAATTCTCTGAACATCATTACTATTGTGATAACAAATCATGTAAATGAAGTATTCTCATCATCGAACAAAAGGTTAATATCATAACTCAATAGTAACTTAGCGTATGAAAATGATTGCCATGTTATCCCATCATATCACTAGATTCCTTATCCTAATGTGACTATGGTCTTTGAAGTGAGATAGATCAGTACAAAGAACCATTTTCTATATAAATACATTTTTGTTTTAAAGAGTAGGTATATAATGACAGAAATGAAGCTGTTTAATATTTTTCTTAATTTAAATATTCTCTATTTATAACACCCGTTTCCTAACAACTGTATTACTTACTCGGTGGTCCCAAGATATACTTCGAAGCATTGCTCGTATATCCTGGAACCACCGAGTAAGTAATGCAGTTGTTAGGAAACAGGTACTAGGTAAGGATGGCAAATCAATTGATGACGTAGTGAAACGTCATCAGTTGAGATGGCTGGGACACGTGTTATGTATGCCCGACAACCGACGTGCGATGTTTCATGGTATAGGAGTAGGTTGGAAGAAAGCTAGGGGCAGCCAGACCAAAACATGGCACAAGTCCATGAAGTCATTGACAAGTGAACTGAGCCATATTGGTAGGTGTAGACTACCTGGTTGGGATCCGCGAGATGATAGCAACCGATGGTTAGAGACCCTGAATGACATGGCTCAAAATCGTTTGCAATGGCGCAGGTACATCCACTCTTTGTGTCCTCCCAAATTCTCTTTGTCTCTTTTTTCTCTTTCTAAATTTATTTCACTGGATTATACTCTTTAAGTAACATCTCCAAACCCTAATCTTTCCGATTACTGATTATACTCTTATTACCTCTACCACTACGGGATTTGAATCGACAACTGCATCTCTGTGCCAATGTGGTATGGCAACTCGGACTGATGTACGTACGTACGAAGTTCTATGTTGTTACTGACTGACTGACTGGTTCAGTAAGAGATAAATAACGTTTTCTATTTTTGTAAAATATACATTCCAAATAACTTATCAGATATATAAACATTTCCTAATTTGTATTGAAATATATTTCTATCTGACTATTATCTAATATAGTTCAGTGTGTTTTCTTCATCTTGAGTTGGAAGCCATAAAAAGATAATCTGCTTGTTTTTTCGTAAAGTACTTTTTAAAAAATTGTTAAGTATACATAGAAATGAATAAATAAGCAGAATACTATTGTGATAGACATAACAATGTGCCATGTATTCTAGTTGTTAAATCTTCTTGATTCTTTACTCTAAATGGAAATGATCAAAAAGATTCTCTTATTAAATCAAAAGCTCAAAATGAAGAAAGTATCTAGTTACATAAGTGTTAATCGAAGCTACTGAATAATATAGCATTGCTTTTACACATGAAAGATAACCTTTACCACCGTACTGTTCGTGTAATAACACTTTCAGTATTCATTATTTCCTGATAGTTTAAAAGATAGATTACTCAAAAAAAAGTTGCCAACTCATCATTTAATGAAAATAAAGGAACTAACCAATTAGGTTCTCTCTTTTTGCTAATAGATTTATCTAAAAATTTGATATAAACCTTCGTCATTGTACTTGAACTAATTTAGTTCACAGTATATTGATGAAAAAAATATCGATGAATAATATATACAACCTTTCATGTTAAAACATACTTTTGTAATCTATCTATTTACCAGTTATTCAGTACATTATAAATTTCCTTTAAACCACACAGGCTTATCCCCTTAACAAGCTAACTAAATCCAATGGTTCTGTACTTGTTTTTTGTGGACCAGGAAACAATGGTGGAGATGGTTTAGTTTGTGCTCGACATTTGAAAATGTTTGTAAGTTTGACTTTATTGAACTTTTTTACAAATAAATTTCTCTAAACAGTTTAGATTAGCCAATCGAAATCAGTTCTATTCTTATCACGACTATGACATCATTACCTGGTATTAATGTGTAATGTTTCTGTTGGGATATTCAGAAAAATATCCCAAAAATTATCCTGTTAAGTCTAATGCTATCCTTGGACTTGAAATAGCATCATTTTCCTATTGGTCAATATTTATTTCACGTGTCATTTTCCTGTTGGCCAAATCTTGTACAAATGTTATTTTCTATTTTATGGTACGATGTGGTCTGCTTGATTGGTATATAAACGGAGTATGTTTGAATTACATGATTCATATTGCAGAGGCTGAGACTTGTGTTCTGGACTCAACTGGCTGGGCTAGGCGGAAAGCAGGACCAATCAGAACTCTGGGCTGCTCATTAGGGTTCACGCGTCATTGTCCCGATCGATAAGTCACTGCTCTCTAATCTGCGGTCACACGTTATAACAGTTTCATTTTATCGTCAAAAATGATCAATAACTTGTTTTTATTTTTATAAAATAAAAATATTTGGTACAAAATAACACCAAAGAAATATCTTATTCATTTATTGGTTGCTTAGTATAAAGTCAAGCTGTTTTTACAATAACTACTCGGTTGTCTGTATAAAACTAGACAAAGTGAAATTCAAACTCTTGATACCTATTGACAGCTAAGAGTCGAGTAGTTTAATTACTAGTCATTCATTTTCTACTTGAAATAGTCAACATATTTTGTAAGTCATTTGGAAATTTCGAGTTTCACATTCAGTATTCACTGATTCTTTCATTCTATTTTGAAGTGTTAAGTCTTAAAATAAAGATTCTTATTTTTAAAAGTTGTATGTTTTCTGCAACTTTTTCAGTAATCCGTGAAAGTTAATCATTGTTGGCATGATAAACATCGATTTTGCCGATTGAATCACTATGATGATTTATTATTAGCAGTTTTGTCCCATGCGAAATCTTTTTTCGAGGAGTCACTTTCCCCACTCTCCTTATCCTTTCTGTTTAGACATTTACTACTCTTGTATAGATTTTCTTTCGTTTGCACGCATGATACACAATGCTTATCAAGGTTATCTATTTCATATATAGAGGAAATATCCCTTCAATTTAGTTTGTTTGTTATTTCACCCTTAAATACCAGATTGTTTGTTTTTCTTTTCTCGTGTTTATCTTGTCATTTGTAGGGTTACAAACCTTCTATACATTATCCTCGTAATCCAACCAAACAATTATATAAAAATTTAGTTATTCAGTGTGAAAAAATGGACATTCCTTTTCTATCAGATTTGACAAATGAAGTAAGTTGGTTTTTTTGTGTAAAACATTTTGTATGTTTTAAAAGTGGTTTTCATCACGAACTGATTTCAACTACAAAAAAACTTTTAAAAGCTAAGATACTGGTAAAAGAACAGTTGATGATTTCCTCTAGTTCATAACTTCTTAGCAGTACTCGTCTCTTAAAGAGGAAGAATATACTTGTAAAATTTCAGTGAATGAATTTGAAGTAAATCCAACGTTTCGCCTGTCAATCTGGTCCAAGCTTTTTCAAGGAAATATATTTTCTTCAAATACATTCGCTGAGATTTTACAAATACATTCTTCCTCTTTAATGTCTCACATCAACGTGGCGCCCAGATACTGTGAAACTGATACTCACCTATAGTTAATCTTATATGGATACCAACCTAATTTGTGTATTGAGCATTATATATAAACTACTGAATAAAAATCCCTGAGGTTAGGATTTTTAATTTCAGTCAATTTGTCATATAGCATAATACTGATTAAGTATTGTGACTGAGTCACTTTCTCATTCCCGAATATCTTGATTTCGTAGATCACAACTTTCAATTGTGAACTGCAAAACGTCCATCTCAAAAACCAGTCACTAGTATAGAAATGATTATTATAGGGTGAGACGGGTTTTTGTGTGTAGATATTTTTATTTATTTTGCGCGTAAACTACATTATCCACTGATGGCATAATATATTAATCATACTAACAAAACCATATTTATCAATAATCACATATATCTGTATTCGACCTACACTAAGTGATAATAGTTTAAGACCTAACAATAAACCACATAGTCTAAATATACATCATTAAAAGTTAGAATTATTTAAAAAGTCTACGGTTAAGCGTTCAGTTTCCCAGTATTCTAGATTAGCTGTCATTAAAATAGTATTGTGCAAATTGTAGACGTTAATTCACTGTATTCAAAAAGTTTTGATTCTCCATACCTTGATGTTTGATTTCTTCTCATTCCTTTTTCATTTCTAATTGTGATATTATATTTCTCCTGCTAACTGAATAACAGTTGTAGTGAACGAACACTCAGATGGGGAAAACCAATTCGTTATTCAGTTCAGAGTTACAACATCTTTGTAAATTATGAAAACCATACATTAAATGGGTCATTTTTACATCTTCCATCAACTATCTCTTACAAACTTCATCGTCCTTTCATTTCTGTTGTCTTCAGTTCAATCTTCTCAATCTTCTGCTGTCATTCATTCCACTTGTGACTGGCGTTACGTACTACTTAGATCTGTCAGCATAAGTAGCATACACAACACAGTGATCTGAAATAACTTTAAACAGTTTATAGGCACAGCTCTCTCAAAATATCCATATCAGACAGTATGAATGTCTCTCTTTTTTTTCATACAACTAATAAACATGATTTTTACGAATATGACGGGCATTATACTTAAGTCACTGGTAGAAATAATAATAATAGATTTTTAACAATCTACAAAGTACTTTTCAATTGTTCTCATTATCACTAAAAAATTCCAACACTGAAAAAATCCATGTTTAGTCTATTTAGTTTATATATGGTACTTCTAATCCTAGTTATCCCACTATATTTTTAATCAGAAAATATATATTTAATTTATGTTCATGGATAATTGTTATATCCTAGCGAAAAATAAGTGAATGGTAGCTGCTAGGAATTATTTATGAACTATTATTACATATATTCATATTCCTTTTATAATAAGCTTATGTTTGATTTATTGACTATTACTATACGATTCACTATTCTTAAGTTATTCCCGATTTATTAGTTACAGTATATCACACTTGCAGCCACTTTCGGTCTGATCTTGTATAATTGTTATTTTTTATTTTATGGTATGGTGCGGTCTGGTTCGCTTGTATATAAACTGTGTATATCTGAAATACATGGTTCATACAGTGGAAACGAAGATTTCGTTCTGAACCCAAACAGAATGAGCTAGGCGAAAACTAATAAAGGACTCAGAGTTAACTCTAGACTACTCGTACTGGTTAACGCGTCATTAGCTTCGCGCAGTGCCAAGGTCATATAAGTCGGTATTTCTTTTGGTGACTTTGTCACGTGATAATAAACGGGGCAAAAGACATGGTGATCTACATAATGTTTCTTCTTTATCTCTATTGTTATTTCTATTGTTCTTTTACATTTTTCTTTAACTAGACAGTTAACTTATCTCAATCTTACGATCTATTCATCGATGCACTTTTTGGATTTGGTTTCAAACCGCCTGTAAGTCTAGAATTCAAAAGTATATTACAAATTATGTCAACAAGTCAAATTCCTGTCATATCAATAGATGTTCCATCAGGTAAGTATACTTTTAGTGTTATGTTTTTATACTACAATCACCTCAACCCTTGTAAGACATATTATCATGCTGATATATATATTACTTACTTACGCCTGTTACTCCCAATGGACCATAGGCCGCTGACCAGCATTCTCCAACCCACTCTGTTCTGGGCCTTCTTTTCTAGTTCCATCCAATTCTTGTTCATTTTTCTCATGTCTATCTCCATTTCTCGGCGTAATGTGTTCTTTGGTCTTCCTCTTTTCTTTGGCCTTGAGGATTCCATGTGAAGGTTTGTCTTGTGACGCAGTTGGATGCTTTCCTCAATATGTGTCCTATCCACTTCCAGCGCTTCTTCCTGATTTCTTCCTCCGCTGGGATCTGGTTTGTTCTCTCCCACAGTACGTTGTTGCTAATAGTGTCCGGTCAATGGATCTGAAGTATTTTGCGTAGACAATTGTTAATAAACACCTGTATTTTCTGGATGATGGCTTTCGTAGTTCTCCAGGTTTCTGCCCCATACAGTAGAACTGTCTTGACATTTGTATTGAGAATGGTGACTTTGGTTTTGGTTGACAGTTGTTTTGAGTTCCAGATGTTCCTCAGTTGTAAATATGCTGCTCTTGGTTTACCGATCCGCGCCTTCACATCTGTATCAGATCCACCCTGTTCATCAATGATGCTGCCCAAATACGTAAATGTTTTTACATCTTCCAAATCTTCTCCGTCAATTTTGATTGGATTGGTGCATGCTGTGTTGTATCGGAGAATCCTGCTTTTCTCTTTGTGTATATTGAGACCTACTGCTGCTGAGGCTGCTGCCACAGTGTTCGTCTTTTCCTGCATTTGTTGTTGCGTTTGGGATAGAAGGGCCAGATCATCTGCGAAGTCCGGATCGTCCAACTGCATCCTAGATGACCATTGTATGCCGTGCTTCCCTTCAGATGTTGACGTCTTCATGATCCAGTAAGGATAGATCGTGTACAGACCAAATCGCAACTCTACAGATCATTGTGGAACAATCAATTGAATGGAATTCATCACTCTACATGATATATATATATAGTCTTCAACCGATGTCACAGTTTCTAATACTACTTCTCCATTTACAGAATTTTGAACAGCTAGGTAGCTGTTACAATAAAAATACGGTTCATATTCACTTATGTTAGTACATACAAGTTAGATGAGTTACATTTCATATAGTTACAAGAAAAGAACGAATCTTTCATGTGTTAAGCTCTAAATAAATAAATTAGTTTATTTAATCTCTAGGATACTTTAGTGTTTTTCATTGATCAATGAATAAAATTGATATCGAAAAACAGGTGGGAACACTGTTGATTATCACTTATTTACAACTAGCTCTTGATCGATCTATTAATAAAACACTGTGTGAATTACGTAAATTTATGTGACAACTTTACAAGCTGAATAACATAAAGTAAGACGGTTATATAAAACCACACTGTACAACGTTTCCAAGTTTTCATCACTAAACAACTCAGTTTGACATTCTGCTTTTGAAATTTGAGTTGTTTTATTGGTCTCAAGTTTCGCATCAAAACAATACATAATGGTTGAAGTAGTACTAAGTTATTAAGTAGTCATTCGTAGATCATTACTTCGAGTCATTCTGTAATTTATAGTCTTATCTATGTTGTTTCTTTTCTAACTACTTGTAAGTAACAATTTAAAATATTCAAATTTTCATGAGAGTAGTGTTGATCAATAGCACAATCTCATTTGCAAATCCAAAACAGTAGTAGTATGTAAATTCAGTTGGTATTCTTGTTTGAATCTTCCCATTGATGTTTAGGACTGCAATTGCCCAGTCACTTATTGGCATGTGTGCATGTTGCCTCGATAGTACCTTAATTCATAAGCATTATAAAGAAAGAATCAGTAGCTAAGTGGATAACGCTATGGCATTTGAAGCGAACGGCACTGGATTCGAGTCCCAGAGTGAACATCAGGTTTAAGATGCAGATACATCCAGCTGACGAGTCTCAAATAGGACGAAACGCGCGTCCTGGATTCCACTGTTAGCCATTATCCATCTTTGTATATAATGCTTGTGCATTAAGTAGTAATATGTGTTGATTCTCCAAAATGAACGTTTAGAGATGTATAGTATTGTCACTGCTCATAATATTTCCTAATAATAATCTTTCTTGTATAACTTGGGGTGTACTGAATTCACATTTGTATGTAGCTGAAGTAATCTGTTTTGTTTATACGATTCCTTCCAGTTTTCAATATAAACATGCGCTTTACGTTTTGTACTGAATGTGGCGCGTTTTATGATCCACTGGAAAAATGGATTAAGTATTGTTGAAGCCCAAACTGATATCTGTTTATAAAATCATCTAGGTCATAATTGGTACTGTAGTCTAATGAATAGGTTCAATAAAAACTCAAGGCCGATTATCGAAAATTATTAAAAATGTAATTAAGCACTGATCGTTATACCGTGGACATACACGTTATTGTGATTCCCAATTATTCGTTCATAATTCATAGAACTCAGTCAATTAGTCATAAACAACGTAAAACATGGAACATCTATATCGGTTCAAATCGTTACATCAAGTTAATTTATACTTTCACTTTTGAATTACATTTTCCTCCGAACTATCTTCTGTTCACACTGAATTGTTTTGCCATATGGTAAATACTACATGTGAAGGTAATCAATGTACCTCTGATTCACTTATAACATACCTTATTAATGGATTATTTCATTCAGTTAAATCATATTAGTATTTAGTAAGTGGTGACGATCGATAAGAAACGTTAAGGCCTAGTTTTCATATTTCATTGATAAGTTCTACATTAATCCAACCTTAAAAAAAGCTTATCTTTCAAACATTATTCATCATGTAACTACTATGTCAGGTCATTTAGTTTGGTAGGCAGATTATTAACCTTAAATGATACAGGTCACAATGGATGACTAAATAACAAGCTATTTATCCTCTCTAGTCACTGACGTCTGTCTTAACTTCCATACTTGTTTAAATAACAACATATCACTGAATTCACATAAGGAGAATTAATACTATCTTACCTAAATTTTTGCCTATCTTTTTGATTTTTATTAGATATAATTTAATATTCATTTCTTTTAACGATCGATAAATAGCTGAGAGTTTTAGATAAACTTGAAATAATCTAACTACTGCTAGCAATATAATTTATAGTATCGATGATAGAAATCGAATACCAATTCTATCTCCCCCCGTATGTTTTATATAAAAGTAATGAAATGTATTCATGCATTATTTCCGTTTACCTGTAGGTAGGACGTCATATCACCTAATATTGTATCTTGTGTGGTTGAAGTGTTGTGCACATCATGTGATTAGTGCATTCGAATACTTATTCAGATGTGTGTGTGTATATATTATATGTTTTGCTACTAATTTCTTCCCTCCACCCTACTTTTCTAGTTTGTGTTTATTGTTTTTCTTACCTCCTTGCTTTAAAAGTTCTATTGTTCATGTTATGATATATATTTTTTTCAAAATACTTACTGTGTATTGATTTGACGTGAAGACAGTTTTATGATCATGGATATAGAAGTCCAGTGATGAACATTTGAAAACATAATGTCAATGAATTGCTGTTTCTCGTTTGAAAACATTAAGCTCTGTGTATGTGCTACCTCGTTTCTGGCTAACATCTATCTATGATTTGCTGCAACCATTATCCAATACCAGTGTTAGACTGTATTATCTTATTACTGAGTTCGTTGACCCCACAAGTCATAACATCTCATTGTATATATATATATACAAAAATTGACCAGAAATTAGATTTATTACCATCATGTAGCGTAAAGTAGATCATATGTACCATGTAATTATGATCAGGACTATCTGATAAACTGTTATCATTGTTTTTTATATCCTCCCTTCCTCCATATCCTATTAGACATACAATAAGCATGACTTGTTTTGGTTTGTTTGAACAGATCACATTTTAAACTTCGTTCGTGTTTATGCTTTCATGCATTTAAACAATGAAGAAACCCATTTGAATGTCACATTATTTATTATTTTGACTGTTACAACTAGTTATATATTTATGTGTATATAAAGGTCGAAAAACACTAGCTCTTATGAAACGTCACAAATGTATTATTATCATTAATAGTTTCGAATTTCAGAAGGAAAGATTCGAGAAAACAAAATCACAAGTTTAAACCAGTGATTCTTAAACATAATTAATTAATTTATGTATCCAAATTTTATTTTACCCTACAATAAACAGTAATGACATCAGAATTATCTCTCATTGTATTACATTCACAAAACACGTAAATAGTATGAATTCATTTTTGTATTGTTTGTTTGAATCTTCCCATTGATGATTAGGATTGCAATTGATCAGTCTCTTATTGACATTTTAGATATCTCAGACTTTTATTATTGGATCTATAGTTGTGAAACTGTGTAGCTTTCCAACCAATAGATTCTAAGTTCGAATCCAGTAGTATCTACTTTGGTTTAAGCAACCAGTTAACATCATTATCCTTCATACAAATATAGTATGATTAGAAGCTTAATACATGAGACTTGTTCGTGGTAAATAAGTTACAACACTATTGAATTGATAGACTAGTAAAATAACATCGATTTCTGTAAAATACCATTATTATTGTTATTATTATATTTTATAATTTAAAATGTTAAGTAATCAAATGTTACATGTATATTTTTGTTTTATTCTGTTAAGTAGGGAATTTAATTACCTATCCATTAATGGCTATACAAATATAAATCATTTTTATTATGAAGTTGAATTCTATTCTAAATATTGTTTGCCATGCATTGGTATGTAACAATAACTCCTGGCTTTAAGTCCTACTGAAATGTTCTACTTAATTAACATATAGTTCTTGGTGAAGTTTCATTCTTTGAATTAAATGCTTTAATTATGGAGTCTTTTTCGTTATTCTTCTGAACAATATCATCAGCATAAACTTAAGGTAGAAGTAAAGTATTCGAATTTCTTCATATGAAACTGACAGCTTGTTCTTAATTAGTTATTGTTGACCTTCAACCTGTAGGGAAATCCTTCATTAATCGTCTCTGTATGGTCATTTTGTTGCAAGATTTTTGGGACAGATAGCTTGCAGCTAGCACTGGAATACAGTATTCAATGGCTTAATGAGCAGTATTTAGGATTTTAAAGCGAAAGGTATTATGTTTAAGTCCTATTGAGAGCATCAACACTGGGATCCAAGTACATTTAATATGTAAAATCTCAAAACACTATAATGTAATTTCTTTTTATTCTTCTATAAAATCATCTATTTATTAGGTCATTGTAAATAGAAGTATCCAGCTTTAATAAATGATATTATCGAAAAGAAAATTTTCTTCATTGAATTCTGTTTCTTTTTGTCTAGTCAATGACATAATGGGTTACTTCAAGTCCTTATATGTATATAATTATTGAAGCCACTTTTCATCTGGTAATCTTATTCTTATGATATACCCTACTATTTTCTTTTTACTTTAAACCCCACGTCCATGAAATGTGTACAAAGAATCCTTCATCTATTCTATTTAGTTTTTTTTTCTTAGCATCTAATTTGGACAACAGTGAACTAAAATTTTACGTGTTACTAACCTCACACTTAATGATATAAACTTATTAGAAGTCTATTGTTTAACTACTAACAATGCCAGTTAGCCGCCGGTAGAAAATTTTTTGATTTATAGTAGATAATTAACCAGCTAATAATCATAATGATAATTATATCGTAGTTTTTAAAAACTATACTATTCTTTGTTTCTTTTCAATAAATCCTCTGACTGAACACTTGAATTAGTTTTATAAGCTCTTTTAATAACCCCGGGGTAAATCTACACAACAACTTGAACACAAGAGAAAAGGTGTGAAATATGGAAAAACGCTTTACTACAAGGTTCGTTTATGTACAGAAAATTTAGAGTATTTGTAGCATTTTAGATGACCTTGAGCTTCTGGAAAGTTCCGGAACGCTACTAAAAATAGCGGGATAGGTAATCATTGAGTCAGAGGTGTGACACGTGACTCTTCATCTTATAGATGTGTCAGAGATACTTCTGCTCAATACTGATTGGATAAAATGTTTTCTAGCGTTTTCAGAGCCTCTGGGCTTTTTTGGAGGAATATTCTGGATCTCCCCATCACTTATTATCCATTGATGAAGGATTATTTTACAAATAAACAGTAAACAACTATAAGCTTCATCATCTTTTTTTCCCTCCTAACTTTATAAAATCCAAAACAATTTCCAATATTTTTCCACAAATAGCTCCCCTCTAAAACAAGATGATTTATCATTAGGATTATTTTAAATGTATGACCTTGTGTTTCAGTCTAATCCTAAGAAGAAGAGAAATATATATTTCAAATTACAGTTGTTAATCATTTTAATAGAACTATGATGTTGGTTTTGTGGGGGGGGGGGGAGCGCTAAATAAATGTTTCAGTATTTCTGTTTAATGGTTATTATTATATATTTTTGTTTATTTATTCCATAACAGGGTGGAATGTGGAAACTGGACCATTAGATAGTGAAAATAATTTAAAACCGGATTGTTTAATATCATTAACTGCACCGAAATTATGTGCTCAATTCTTTCAAGGACAGTATCATTTTCTCGGTAATTTAACTTTATATATGTATATATATGATGGGTTTTTCATGTGAGTTTGTATGTTAGTTGTTTGTTGAAAAAAACTGGTCAAGAGATCCAGATTATACGCTGACTTTTAATTAGAAATCATTAACATCTACTTTACTGTAAAACAAATTGATTCTAAGAATACTCATACATATCTATTCAGTTTATACTGAAATTTAGAGGCATCTAATTCTTTGAATAATTTTACAGAGTAAACTGTGAAAGATTTTTCATCAACTGCAAACAGCCTATATTTAGTTTGATATAGAATGGAGAATTGAAATGAAAATTAGAAAGCTCAAACTCAAAAAAAAAGAAATGAACTAGGCAATACTCTTTATTCTACTAATTGCAAAGATAATCTAATCTCAGTAGTTAAGATCATGAGTTAATTGAGGCTAGATCACCATGGAAAACCTGAAAGCACTGGACAGCCGTTTCATCCTACTGTGGGACTCTTCAACAGTGTGCATTCACGACCCCACCTTGCGAGATCCGAACCTACGACCTACTGGTCTCGTGCGTGAGCACTTAACCACTAGACCACTAAGCCGGCATCCAACGATGTTGATGTCTAACTTCAACGAATCCACGAAATTGAGCAACACATCCACGATTGTCATCAGTGAGTTACTACCGCTTCTGATGATAATCTAATCATAACACGAATATTGTATTCTGACAATATAATGTAAAAATAATTAGAAATCAATGAATATAGTTTTTTTCATGAAATATGAAAATAAGTTTACTCAAAAAAATTTAAACATTCAGGTGTAAAGAAAATTTCCGTTTACATCTTCTTTACCATCTTAGGAAGATGACATTTAGTAATAAATAATTAGAGAGGTATTGAAAAGAGCTATGTCGCTTTTAGTATATAACATCAAATAATCATAAACCAATCAAACATATATAAATACCCCCTTACTGAACTTATGAATTTGCAATATATTTATGAAAACAATTACATAAGAAGATCTGAGAAAATACCTTCATGAAACTTTCTGATTGTGTTTATTGAAATCTGTACTTGGAAGAAAATAAAATGTGATTGATACACACTTGATAGGCAGTAATTACGAAGTGATTGTTTTCGCAACCTTATTAATAATAAATTGACTTGTTTTACTTTGCAGAAATCTTTACGATCTATTGTTTCTTAACAAATTTATATAAATAGAAGTATAGCCATTAACTTCTAGTCTTAGCCATGTTGGTAGATGCAGACTACTTGATTGCGGTCCGCGCAACTATGGTAACCAATGGTTGAAGACTATTGGTGACATGGCTCTGAATCTATCACAATGGCGTAGGTGTCAGTCAGTAGCAACGTAGAACTTCGTACGTACGCACATCAGATCGAGTTGCCATACCACATTAGCACACAAATACAATTGTCGATTCAAATCCCATAGTGGTAGAGATAGTAAAAGTATAATCAGTAATCAGAAAGATTAGGGTTTGACGATGTTATTCAACGAGTATAATCCAGTGAAATAAATTTGGAAAGAGAAAAAAGAAAGAGACATGAAGGATTCAGAAGATTAGGATTTGGGAGAATACAAAGAGCGGATGCACCTGCGCCATTGCAAACTATTTTGAGCGATGTCATTCAACCAGGTAGTCTACACCCACCAACATAACTCAGTCCACTTAGCGTTGGTGTATACACTCTTTGTTTTCCCTTAAACTATGAGATTAAAATTATTTCATATCTTTCTACGAACTAACTTTTTCTTTCTGTACTATATCCTTTTATAAAATCTTTCCTTTATATATTACACCATTGAGTAACTGCTTCTATGAATCCGGTGTTCGTCTTGTTGTGCTAATGCGGTGTGGCAACTTGGACCGATGCATATATGTGCCTGGTCCTATGTTGTAATTGACTGACTGATAGTTAATCTCTCTTTTCTCCAATAATAAATAACTGTCCTAAAAGAATTTCACTAATTACGTAATCTCACAATTGATTGATCACTGGGTGGTGATCAGTGTCATGTATGTCAAGTCCTTATTTAGTGCAAATCGAATGCTATTGACCATGTTGCAATGTGGCCACCAGTCCAGGTGACTCGACACTGCGTGGTTGGAGGTAGTTGACAGGAAACCCTGGACCCGGGTTTCGTGCTTCTTGGCACTCGTCAGCAAGGTGCATCTGTAATCTTGAGGGAACTGGTGCTCCCTGACGGATTCGATCCCGTATCACCCAGCTTCTGTACAAAAAAGTCCAAACATATTGAAACGGAAGTGAAGTTGAGTATCAAACATCTGTGTTAATGATAATAACTAATACATAAAAACAAAATGAAAATATGAGGAATATACTAATAGTCGGTGAAAATTAAAATAAATAAATAAAAGAATTAATTACATCCTCTATAACAACTATATGAATTAGTGAGAAATTATTATGCCTACATTAACCATTCAAATATGTACACATATACACAAGTTTATTATGATATTTAATCGTTCCTAATTGTCTTGTTTATCATTATGTTTTTATTTAGTATACTTTGTCATAAAATTATCTTCATTGATTGAATATCTGAAGTACATTTCTATATGTATCCAGTATACATAGTTTTATGTATATTGATTAAGTCCACTGTATAAACAATCAGTTTGTTTATCTTATTAAATGGTCTAGTATACATCAGTTCGTTTGCAAGTTTATAAATATATCACTACCTATTAGAAAAACATTCATATCCCTCTCTCTGTGTCTCCAGGATGGTTATAAAAATTCTATGCCGAAACAACTTCCTGTCTGTACTGTAATTTTGACCATATAATTTACATTAATAAATTATAATTAATTGTCTGATTATCAAGTGGAAAAAATGAATTAAAATGATGCAATTAAAGTTTAATTGGTCATTTTTATTCACATGTATAATTAAACTTATTATTTATAGAATTTGGGTTGAGAATTATTCAATACCTTCTTTTTATTTATTTATTAAATCAATTTTTCCGTTGTCCACTTTCCCAACAAAAGTATAATTTCAATAGTTGAAGTCATGAGTCAATTAAAGCTAGACCACCATGGAAAACCTGGAAGCACTGGACGGCCATTTCGTCCTATTGTAGGACTCATCAGCAGTGCGCACCCATGATTCCGCCTCGCAAGATCCGAACCCACGACCTACTGGTCTCGCGCGCGTGCGCTTAACCACTAGGCCACTGCGTGAGACTGATAGGTCCTGAGTTAGAATCTCGCTGGGGGGCGGGATCGTCGATGCGCACTGCTGAGGAGTCCCACAATAGGACGAAACGGCCGTCCAGTGCTTCCAGGTTTTCCATGGTAGTCTAGCTTCAATTGACTCATGATTTCAACTACTGAAATTACTAAAATCTCTACAAAACCCCTTCTGATAAAAGTAAAATTGTACATATTTAAATTGAAACTGTTTACATTATTAGATCAATTGAAACGAAGGATACTTTCTTTTATAATTTTCCTTTTAAATAATGAAGATACTTACTTACGCCTGTTACTCCTCGTGAAAGAGCATAGGCCGCTCACCAGCATTCTTCATCCAACCCTGTCCTGGGCAATCCTTTCTAGCTCCTTCCAGTTGTTATTCATCCTTTTCATATTTGATTCTATTTCTCGACGTAATGTGTCCTTTGGCCTTCCTCTTTTCCGCTTCCCTTCAGGATTCCAAGTTAGGGCTTGCCTCGTGATGCAGTTTGATGATTTGCGTAGTGTATGTCCTACCTATTTCCATCGTCTTTTCCTAATTTCCTCTTCAGCTCGAAGCTGGTTTGTTCTCTCCCACAAAAGGCTGTTGCTGATGGTATCCGGCCAATGGATGTTGAGTATCTTGTGTAGACAGCTATTTATAAATACTTGCACCTTCTTGATGATGGTTGTTGTAGTTCTTCAAGTTTCAGCTCCGTACAATAGAACTGCCTTGACATTCGTATTGAAGATTCTCACTTTGATATTGGTTGAAAGTTGTTTTGAGTTCCATATGTTCTTCAACTGTAGGAATGCTGTCCTTGCTTTGCTAATCCTCGCCTTTACGTCTGCATCTGAGCCTCCTTGTTCATCGATGATGCTTCCCAGGTATGTGAAGGATTCTACATCTTCCAGAGTTTCGCCATCAAGAGTGATTGGATTGCTGTTCTCCGCTTTGAATTTGAGGACCTTGGTTTTCCCCCTGTGTATGCTGAGGCCTACTGATGCAGAAACTGCTGCTACACTGGCTGTCTTTTTCTGCATCTGTTCGTGTGTATGCGATAGGAGGGCTAGGTCATCTGCGAAGTCTGAATCGACTAATTGATTCTGAGCTGTCCATTGTATTCCGTGTTTTCCTTCAGATGTCGAGGTCTTCATAATCTAGTCGACCACCAGAAGAAAGAAGAAGGGAGAGAGTAAACAGCCTTGTCTGACTCCGGTCCTTACTTCGAATGCGTCTGTCAGCTGTCCTCCATGCACGACTTTGCATTGTATTCCGTTGTATGAGTTCCGGATAATATTGACAATCTTCTCAGGAACTCCATAGTGTCAAAGAAGTTTCCATAACGTTCTCCTATCTACACTGTCAAATGCCTTTTCATAATCAATGAAGTTGATGTACAGTGATTGTTCGACGATGATCCGTAGTGTCGCAGTTTGGTTCGTGCACGACCGATACTCACGGAATCCAGCTTGTTGATCTCAAAGTTGGGCGTCTACAGCATCTTTCATCCGGTTCAGCAAAACTCTGTTAAAGACTTTCCCTGGTATTGACAGTAGTGTGATGCCTCTGTGGTTTTCACATTTGCTCAGGTCTCCTTTCTTTGGAATCTTGATGAGGTGTCCTTCTTTCCAGTCCATCGGCACTTGTTCCTCCTCCCAAATCTTTTTGAATAGAAGGTAAAGCATGTTTGTAGTTACTTTGATTTCTGACTTCAGTGCTTCAGCTGGTATATTGTCAGGTCCTGCTGCTTTCCCGCTCTTGATTTGTCTGATGGCCATTCTGATTTCTTCGGTCGTTGGTGGATTGACATCTATAGGAAGATCTGTGTGCGCTGCTTCGATGTCCGGTGGATTCCTTGGAGCCGGCCTATTCAGGAGTTCCTTCAAGTGTTCTACCCATTTGTTTCGCTGTTGTTGAATTTCAGTGATTGGCCTGCCTTCTTTTTCCTTGACCGGTCTCTGGTTTACTGTATTTCCCTGCTAGTTTCTTCGTTGTATCGTAGCGTTGTTTTATATTTCCTTCCCTTGCAGCCGTCGTTACTAGTTCTTCGACGTATTTCTTCTTGTCGGCTCTAATACTCTTCACTTGCTTATTTGTTTCTATGTATTCAGCTTGTGCTTGGACTTTCTCTGCTCGTGTTCGGCTGTTGTTAATTACTGTCTTCTTGTTCTTCCTTTCTTTGATCTTGTCCAGTGTTTCTATAGAGATCCATTCCTTATGATGATGCTTCTTTAGACCCAGAACCTCTTGACACTTTGAAGTTAATGCTTCTTTGATACCTTTCCAGTTGTCCTCCATAGTAGTTTCTTCTTCTTTCAGTAGATCCTGTAAGGCTTGGAACCTGTTGTTGAGAGCTATCTTGAATTCATTGAGTTTGTCAGTATCTCGAAGGAAGGCTGTATTGAACCTTTGTAATGCTGTTTGTCCAGTTGTCCAGCTCTTCTTTAGCTTCACTTTTAAATTGGCCACAACTAGTTGGTGATCTGAAGTTATGTCAGCTCCTCTCCTGGTTCTCACATCTTCCATTGTCCTTCGGAACTTTTTATTGCTGCCAATATGGTCTATCTGTTTCTCTGTAGTGTGGTCCGGTGAGATCCTTGTAGCTTTGTGTATACGTTTGTGTGGAAATATTATGCCTCCTATGACCAATTTGTTGAATACACACAGATTTGCAAATCTCTCCCTATTTTCGTTTCTCTCACCCAGTCCATGTCGTCCCATGATATCTTCATATCCGGTGTTGTCTATTCCGACTTTGGCATTTAGATCTCCCATCAGAATGGTGAGATCGTTTCTTGGGCACTTCGCTATGATTGATTGCAGCCTCTCATAGAATTGATCTTTAATGTCGTCGTTGCTATCATTTGTGGGTGCATAACATTGGATAATATTCATTAAGATCCCCTCCTTCTTTGTTTTGAATAATGCTTTGATGATTCTGGATCCGTGAGATTTCCATCCTACTAGTGCATTTCGTGCTACTTTGGACTGCAACTCCCTGAGTATGCGGAGCATTTTCCTCTTCATGACCGGAGTATAGTAACATCTCTCCCGTATTTAGCCTTTGTTGTTCAGCTTGGGTCGAATGGGTTTCGCTGATTCCCAGTACTGCCAATTTGTATCTCCTCATTTCCGTTGCTATTTGACTGGTCTTCCCGGTCTCCCACATTGTTCGGACGTTCCATGTACCTATAAAAATTTTGCTCTGGTTGTTAGAAGGGGCATCGGCCTCGTGGATTCCGAAAGAACTCGGCTTTCACCATGAAGCGTCATAGTTCTTCTAACTCTCAAGGCAGAGTTTAAATGGTTTTTTCTGGTAAGCGTTTTTTAGCGAGTTAGTTTTCTACGGGATGGGAACGCTAACCCCATGCCCAACCCTTCTCCTTTACCTGGGCTTGGGACCGGCACTAACTCTGGAAGAGCTGCAGGCTTATTCATTTGATCTAATTATTGACTTCTATGGTATTATTAGCTATTCAGGAAATAGAAGTGTAAGGTGGTGAGCGATTATCGACAGGAATCTCCATAATCTACATTTAACAATACTTGACACTTGTCAATTAGGCATACTTATCTTCAGTCTCAAAGGAATGTATTCTCGTTATGTGATTTTAACCGAATTTATTTAAACTATGACTCATCAAACCGTAGAACTGTCATATTTACACTGATTTATCACTAAGTGATAATTAATGTCATGTTTTTGGTGAAGTTTCATTCCTTCGAGTTGGATGTTTTAGTCATGAAGCTTTCATAGTTCTTTTAAACAACATCATCAGCACAAACTTCAGATAGAAAAGGAATAAAGAATAATGAAAGTTTCATGATTGAAGCATTCAGTTCAGAGCGCGAAATTCCATTAAAACCATCCGCCTTAACTACGAATCTCTATCAGTTCATGTTTATTTAGTCTTTATTGTTGTACAAATTTTATTAATAAAGTTCCAACATGAAATTCATTTCTTAAAAGAAAAACTCATATGAACTATATTTCGATGTTAGGCAGTTAAAGTCAATCGGACCCAACTCAATGATTTCAGCGAAATTGGGTATAGACAGTTGATTTTACACTTTTTGTTCTCATCAAATCTTAGTTTTTATTATTTACAAGTTATTAAATAGAATCATGTTTATTTACAGGAAGTATCTCTAGTTGTTGATTGTTTGTTGTTGATAATATTTAACCATTGAACAAAGTACCTAAACACAATCTTTTGGAAATAAAATCATTTTAAAATTACATATCATATTGACCTATTTTCGTTTCTAAGGTGAGTAGAACATCATGTAACCTAAAATGTAGTGACTCAGATTGTGTGGTACTACTGTTTTTAATGATCAACACATATTTTTAAAAATGTTATACACCATATTTTCCTAGACAAATTTCCATAACATTTAGCGAAAGAAGTGTAAAGAAGTAGTGACCAGTGGAGTTCAACCAGGTCTGTTGTGAGATAGTAACTCACTGAAGACAATGGTGGATGTGTCGCTCAATTTCGTGGATTAGTTGAAGTTAGACATTAACACCGTTGGATGCCGGCTCAGTGGTCTAGTGGTTAAGTGCTCGCGCGCGAAACCAGTAGGTCCTGGGTTCGAATCTCGCAGGGGGCGAGGTCGTGGACGCGCACTGCTGAAGAGTCCCACAACAGGACGAAACGGCCGTCCAGGTTTTCCATGGTAGTCTAGCTTCAACTGACTCATGATCTTAACCATTGAAATCCATTTCTTCGACATTTAATTAGGAAGAGATTGATCACAACGTAACGATACTCAGCCAATAAAACTTCTCAACATAAACGTGTAGAAATAGGAAGACTAGTCTTTTTTCAATGGAGCTCTTACTATCTATACAAAAGCTGATGTCACTACAAATTGTCTGTATTTGTCATTTAAAAATCTATAGGACAAAATAACGTCCTGACAGATCAAGTTACTAATTCTGAGAAAGTATCTATCATTTTGGTAATTGTGGATTCTCCATGCGTAAAATATAAATTCGAATCATATAACTAAAAAGAAAAATTCTAAGGTGTTCCCAGTAGAAAAAAACACTATCTGAGTATTTCGTGTCAATAATAAAATCTAAAAATACGAAACTCTTTCATGGAACATTAAATAAAGAAAATTCTACCCATAGAAACGTATTGGATAAGAATAAAGATAAAGATAGATTTACGTTGTTAACTTATTAACTTACTGACAACTTATTAATTAATAAGCAAACAAATAATGTCATGTTTATTATGTAGAGTTGGGTTGCTTCGATCAAATTACTGACTGACTTAGTTATGCAACGTTAATGCGAAATCATATTGTCTGTAGACCAACAAACAGCTGAACTATATTAATTCAAGATATTGAGTTGAATGTGAATCGACTTCGATCTCTGAAACGTTGACTTGTATTATCCTTAGTTAACCATATGAACTTTCCATATCTGCTAACTATGTTTATTTTAAAGCGTCAAGATAGATATTTTTCTACTTATGCAATGTTTTATAGTCTTTTCATTTTATTTTCAGGTGGGAGATTTGTGCCAGATGCACTAATGAAGAAATACAAGTTGAAACTACCTACATATCCTAGTCATGAGTTATGTGTACTACTTAATTCCTCCGATGATAAGAAGTAGTTAGTTATATTTGCCAAACTTTTGTAAATGAAATTTTGTTAAAATATCTTTATCTAGAAGGTTCCACTGAATGTTAATACTTTATTTACGAATAGCACAACTAACTGAATTAGCCTTTGTTAACAGACCATTTTCATGTGTATCCACTGTGTCATCAGATCTGATAGGTCTCATTTTTATCTCATTTATGTTTGATTTGTATGTGAATATAATACACGTATCTGTCACGTTTTCATGATTTTTATTTGAATTATTATATCAAGTCTTTCAAGTAGATACAAATCCAGTATTTCAATGGAGGTAAGGAGGAAATTAGAACTTATTTATTGTAAGAATTCAATATATTTGTAGACAAAATTATTCATTGATTAGTCTTACTTCTTACTAACTGTAACAGAATATCTGAAGATTGATCTATAAATTTGTTGATTCATTATTCAATTACAGAACCATTAAAATTAGACTTATGATTACCATCGTTCTTCTTATCTTTATATTTACTCATCCCATAAGCCTTGATTATTAACAACTAATTTACAATACATTCAAACACCAAGTGACTAATGAATTATAGTTCAGTTAATCTCATGCAAATCATTTTATAGAACACCAACTTTCGGCGTTGAAGTCTTAAAACTAATGGTGATTTATTAACTAGACGTTCTGACAACTACCAAGCTCCAGTAATAAACAATTACTTGAATATCCTTTTTTTTAATTTAACAGGATCAACAAGCCTTCAGAGTACAGATTGTCTAGTTATCTCAAATGGGATATAAATTCCTATTATGTTCAACTTTGAGAATCTACGCATGTGTACACCTCAATCCTCTACAATAATCTTTGAAAACGGATAGTTTGGTAGTGAGAATTCGAATTTGCCTGATTTGTTTAGTTTCAGCCAACTTGTAGGCTCCTTGAACGTATATATCGATATTGTCTGAAGTTGTGTGTAGTATCTAACAATGGAAAATCAAATGCTTGTTTTATGCTGTTCGAGGTGTATCAAGTGGGCGCGAAATACAAATATATGTATATCATGACTTTGGAACGTGGTATTTGTCGTTACTTAGGAATCTAGTAGATAACGCTCTGAGTTTTGAAACGATGAGTATTGGTTTGTTCTGAAATCCAAGTACATTGAGCTTCAAGCAGAACTAAACGTACACTTTGAATTGCACTGATAACCATCATAAAATATACCTATTTTCTTAGCACATTGACAACATACATTATATACAAACGATCATCCCAAATCTCTTAATTCACGAATTAATGTTGACCGTGTCCTCTTGTGCGAAATAAAGTCCAATTTAGCTTAATGTCGTATCAGCTCGTGCTACAGTACTTCATTTTACTTTTTTTATTAACTCGTTTACCAGACACTTGTATTTGAGCAGCACTCGAAGTCCAAAGGCTAGTGGGACTAACCAGTTGCCGAAATAAGTGGAGAGGGGTTTGAACCTATGACTTAGTGGTTTAAAGTCAAATACACTAACCACTGAGCCATTGTAATATGAGGAAACTGATTTATCTCTGAGAAATTTCCATTATATAAAAACATATATGAACAAAGAATATTCTTTCCAATAGATTCTCTTCAGGTTCTACAATTTTATATCCAAATTAATAATCAGAAATGTGGCTAGGTGTAGGGAAAATACATCATTCGGGAATTATAGCATGTGAATTTAGGATTGTAAAATAAAACAAAATCGTTAATGCTGGGTTGACTGTAATAAGTTTATATGTTAAGTGAATTTGTAAAGTTAATAATCAGGATAAATACAGTTAATATGGGGTGCAAGAAATAATGATGTAATTATGAATTAAACTGACTTAGCTGGAAGTTTCATCCATTTAAACAGCTCGCTTCTTAACTAACTCCAATTAGTCCCATGATTTAGATCGTCTTAGCTGCGTTTCCAATGTATATTTTAGATCTGACAAGATATCTAAATAAAGATGTGCATCAAAGATATTTATTTCCGCATAAAATAAAATCCTGGCTAATCATGAAAATTACTCTCATACATGCGGGTCCTATCGAACAACTTAGATGAAGCGAAAATTAGAAATGTATGCGAGTATACAACTATGAAAATGCATTCGTTAATAAAAAGGACCAAGTGGTTTAAATTGACCAAGTAAAATCTTAGTCTTCAACCAAAGGTACATAGTTTCTGTAACGGCCGAAATTCCAATATTTGGTTTGACCGCTGAACTAATGAACCAAAGTTTATTCGATTTGGCCAAACTACGTTCTTCTATATAGCGTACGAAGCGTTTTTGAGTGAATTGTATTAAATTATATTAAAACACAAACTGTCCAATTTAGACGGTTCGAATTTAAGAAACAAAACAAATATCTCAAATAGTACGGCCTATGCTATATAGCCAAAGGTTTCTGTAGAGCAAAATAACGTACTAAACAGCCAAAGAAATAGTTTATAAATCCTAGTACGATACCTCAAGAAGGGACCAGATATATATCTGCAAAGATCCCTGTAATCCTTCCAAGCACATAGTTAAAGGTTAACAATCATACGTTGAACTACGCCATAACCTTGAGTTTAGTCAAACATTACCTTATTGTTCATAGTCCGGCAACATGCAGCAGTAAAACTAAGTAATAAAAAGTAAATATAACCAAAGTCAAATAATAAAGGCCCAGACAAGGAAGACTATAGAATAAAATTTAGAATACAAGGAAAAAGAACAAGGTCAGACTGATTACAATCGGATCTATCAAACTAGTATTGATCTGCATAAACTAAGTGTATATATACGCTGCCCAAAATATTTCTCTTAAAATCTATCCACTGCTGATTGGTTTTAATAAGTCAAATAAGAAAAGCTAACTGTTTTTAACGGTTCAAAAAAAAGAATCGATAACGAGATTTGTCAACACAGTAAGCCAGTTTATTTCGAACGTCTGGCTGATTGGATTCATTTATCAGAAACACATTAATGAAGAAATATTTCCAGTAGAATAATACCTACTATCCTGCAGAGTGATCTATCGACAAACAAATATACCATTCATCGTGTTAGTAAATTAGAGCTATCAAAACAAAATACACATTCTGACCAATTTTTTTTATTATATCAAAGTACCATAATACTATCCAGAAAATGTAATAAATAATTCAAAGAATAAGGCATTGAAATGACGGCGCCAACAACAAGTAAGCATCATAATAAAAAAAACAATAACAGGGAATTGAAAAACCAATAAAACAAATACGCCAATAATGAACAATTTTAATATATATGATAATCTCAAAGTGGTATATTACATGCATTTAAATTAATATTATATCGTGCAGATCTGTAGGTTCAATTCAATAAAATAAAGTATTACATATATATATCATAATCAAATTGTTCTCTTCTTAATCATCACTGGGATTAAGAATAGAGATAAGAAAAATTGAAATGGATAAATAATCGACAAATTAAAAGCATATCATAGAAACAATGAATAAGTGTATGTAGGTATACACATACACACACACACACACGCATACAGAGAGAGCGAGAGAGTAGCATGCAAAACACACATACATGTATATGTATGTGTAATAAACCGAATAAGTAAATTTCTTTTAATCTGAATTCAAGTGACGAAAATGAAAAAAAAAATTTCTTTCGAAAAGATAAAACATCACTAGAACATTGTTTGCTAATGGAAAAATTGATAAATAAATTTGTGAAATGATTCTTTAAAAGTTACTGTACAGTGAATTATAATTGATAATATAAATTTATTTATATAAAGATGATTATGATGATTGTTTTAAACTAGCAAGATGAGATTCTAATGCTTCTAATTCCATTTGCTGAGATTGAATTCGTGCTTTTGTATGGATACCCTAGAAAAATTAATTGAAATAAAAATTATGAATATATATATAATATTATATTGTATTTTAAGAATGGGGGTTTGTGAAGATTCTCAGTCAGTCAGTCAGTCAACTACAACGTGTAGGACCAAGCACATATATACATCGGTTCAAGTTGCCATACCTCATTAACACAAGATGAACACCGGATTCATAAAAGTAGTTAATTCAGAGGTAGTAATATATAAAAGAAGATTCTAATAATTTTAATAGTTGAATTCATGAGTCGATTTAAGCTAGATCATTATTGAAAATGTGGAAGTACTGGACAGATGTTTCGTCCTAGTGTGGGACTTTTCAGCAGTGCACACCCATTGATCCTGCATGAGGAACTCGAGCCCAAGGACCTTCGGATTTGCGTGCAAACACATAACCTCTAGAATTAATTATACATAGACAAACTATTATAACACTTTTCATTTTTTTGATCAAGGATAAATGAATCATTTTACTTTATAAGCCGATTGGTTAAATAGCTGACAAACGATTACAATAATTTTCTTAAATGGATGTTCAACAACTTATAAATCAAAACAGACGAATACTAACATTTCTAGTTTTAAAGATGTCACAGTGAAATTGTTGATATTATTTGACATTATTAAAACAAGTCATTATATATCAGATGGGTTTTGTGGATATTATAGTAATTTCAATGGTTAAGATCATGAGTCAGTTGAAACTAGACCACCATGGGAAACCTGGAAGCACTGGACGGCCGTTTCGTCCTATTGTGACTGGCTTCACGAGGTATATCCTGGAGTTCTAGTGAGAAGTGGTGACCAGTGGAGTTCAATCAGGTCTGTTGTGAGATAGTAACTCACTGAAGACAATGGTGGATGTGTCGCTCAATTTCGTGGATTAGTTGAAGTTAGACATTAACACCGTTGGATGCCGGCTCAGTGGTCTAGTGGTTAAGTGCTCGCGCGCGAAACCAGTAGGTCCTGGGTTCGAATCTCGCAGGGGGCGAGGTCGTGGACGCGCACTGCTGAAGAGTCCCACAATAGGACGAAACGGCTGTCCAGTGCTTTCAGGTTTTCCATGGTAGTCTAGCTTCAACTGACTCATGATCTTAACCATTGAAATCATTATATCATTTAGAAAAACAAATTTTTTAAATTCATTTTGTATTGTTTATTTAAATCTTCCTAGAATTGCAATTGATCAGTCTGTTATTGGCATACATGCATCCTGTGCGGATTACCTTGATATTGCCTCAAGTCACAAGCATTATTATTGTTCAATGTTATCATCACTAAGTGAACCTTACTTTTTAAAAATTAGATTTATCTTGAAACTAACAGTGAGTTTCAGATTTACCTTTGAAACATGAAAACAATTAGAAACTTGAACTTGTTCTTATGCAAAATTTCACAAAATAGCAATGTAATTTACTTGTAACAATGCTTGATTTGTGTAAGTTGGCCAAGTTATTTCTATTCGTGGTGAAGTTGAACTACTTGAAACTGTGTCACCTCGTTGAACAGTTTCAGCAAGTAGGTCTGTTGACTCTTTGACAGCTTGTCCTGCAGTCTGTTCATACAGAGATTGAAATAA